CGATCTAAACCCGAAACAACCCGACTCCAAATGCAGCTGGAGCGTCGGCGTGCTGGCATCTTCCTCAAGCCGACGCTTCTTGCGCTCGCTTTCGGACACGTTGGCCTCCTGTTGGATGAGGGCTTCGGCTTTGGGGCACGCATGTGTTCAGGGCATGGTCTGAGCAAGGGCCTGTAGCAGAGATTCGTGGTAGTTATAGTTGTAGAAGCAATGAGATTATCCTGATCCTGGCCGGAAGTAGCCCTGGACTGGCCAATCGTCTTCTCGCAAGGTGTCTGGCCATGATTGTAAATGACGATGTCGACGTTCATGACCACAGCTTGCCAGTTACCTCGTCGCTGTTGGTATCCTTCTTCCTCAACCATGCTACGTACAACTTCTACAGCATCATCAGCAGCTGATCAACGCTATAGCAACTTTTATTGTGACACTCTCACAATAGCATCAATCATTCTTGCGATCAGTCTTGTTGTACGCTGATTCGCCTGTCTGCTGGTCAAGGCGGGCTATGGCAAGGCAGCAACAACACGGCAGCGGCGGAGGGTCGCAACAGCAAGAGGAGAAGCAAGTGCCGTAGCAGTTGTAGCGACAACAAAGGAAACAGTACAAACGCCGACAACCAGACGGTGATGATACTGCCGAGTATGACGGTTCTGGCGACAATGATGAGACCGGAGCTGGTGGTGTTGGCGCTGAAAATGCTGATGATTTCCGTTGTGAATATCAAAACCAGAATCGGAATCATCATCGTCGGTGTCGTTATCAGAGGCAATGTAACCTATGTTGGAGATGCCTCTTTTGCCTACTTCAAGGGAATACTTCAAGGACAAACGCCACCCTAGATTCCAGAATCCTCTGCCGGCTTCTCGCACTCATCCCCCGGCTCGTAGATGGCCGTGAAGACGGGCTTCGGAATCACCCAGTCCTCCACAAGGTGATGCACAGGTGAACCTGATTGAACATGGTGTGGGAAAGACGCGGTCTGGATCTCCTGCTTGAGGAGGTCGAGCAAATGTCCTCACAGACTGAAGCGCGTCTGTCTCATCCGCAATGGAACTAAGAGTAGCATCCTTCTGCGAGGAAGAAGACTGCAAGACCGCCGCAAATAATGCATTGGGTGCTGAGGTGAAAGCAAAGACTGGGCTGTTCATCGAGACCGTTTACCTGAGAGTTGATGCTTCAATATCCTTTTGAAAATCAGAGAAAAGGCCTGGACGAGCCCACTAAACCAGCAGGCAAACACGAAGACCCCAACCTTTCACATGTCATTTCGCATCTATGGACCATCGGCATGCCGCAGGTGTGTTGAAGTCATCATGCCTGTGCACCAAGTTGACCCTAAGCAAGCCTGAAACTTTCCATGTTCGGGCTAAAAGCATCGACGCACAGGGCATCGCAATGCATTGGCCGAGTACTGCTGGTAATACTCTTACGACTACTGATAATTTAACTTCTACTGCTGCTGCTACTGCTACTGCTACTGCTGCTGCTGCTGCTGCTGCTGCTACTACTACCACCACCACCTCCACCACCACTACTGCTACTGCTACC